ACCGTTAGTCGGATATTAAAGTATCAGCCACCACAACTAGATTTCTCTGCGTCATTACCTATTATATCAAGTTCCTAACATTTTGTACGTCGAACCTATTTTAGGACCGACTTAGTACAAATACAAGCCCTCCACTGAAACTACTCTACAACGAAATGGAACACGGTTAAGGAGTTGAAATTGGCAGAAGAGCGTCTTCGCCTATAAGTAGTTCTGGGTACTGTTGCCACAGGTCGTGCAGGGAACCGACGCTTACTGGACAAAATTCGCGGGAAGAGGAAATGAGAGTAGCAAAGGTGATTGGATTAAAACAACAAGGCGCGTGGACAAAATAGGAAACAATGATTCATAGGAAAGTTAGATTGTCTGAGCTATGGCGTAACGAAATAGGCATGAACTTTCTAATCTGAGCAGTTTACGACCTTCTCCCAAGCCCAGTTAACCTACAACTATGGTCTAAATCGGAATCGCCTTTATGCCCCTTATGTGGTCAATTAGGGTCATTAAAACACATACTTAGTAGCTGCAAATCAGTGCTGGCTGATGGTAGGTACAGATGGCGACATGATTAAATATTAAAAGACATAGCAGAAGTCTAATACAACCATCCGCACAAACATTTAATTCAAACAAGAATGTTATAAATTTTATTGGAGTCGGTGTGAAACCGAACCCAAAGAAAATGATTACACCCAATTGTCTATCGTGTGCAACATACAATTTCCAGTGGATATAGGCAAAAGATTAAACTTCCTGGATCACATTTTTAAGACCTATTGCGTCCAGACAGTCCTTTTTTCAAATAAGTCTGTTATGAGGATAATGCAGAAGAAGCGAATGAATGGCAAAAACTAAAATACGACGAATTACTGAAAAATTGTAGGCGCAATGGATGGAAGGCAAGCTGCAAGCCTATTTATGTAGGCACAGGGGGTTTTGTAGCAAAATCACTAGTCAGCGCCCTAACATATTGGGATAGTGGGAACAAAAAGACGAAAATCTATTCAAACCATTACTGAGACAGCAGAAAAAAAAAAAAAAAAAAAAACAAAAAACAGCTAAATGGTTATAGCTAAAACGAGCCAGTGCATGGACAAGCAATCAGGGAAAAGTTGGCGATAGATGAAAACGTTTTTGTTTTTTGTAAATTCTTTATTTTACGCATAATGTAATTTTGCAAATCTTAAATTGTATATTATTTAAATGTAAATAGTATAAAGATATGTCACGGCTTATAACTAATTACAAATGCCGTTATTGTTATTTATCTATAGTCGGAAAACAGTTGCAGTTTTTTTGTTGTATATATATGGTTCTTTAACTAGCCGTTGTATACGAACATCCAGAATTTTCCTCCTCGGGAAAGGGAAGGAAAGAAATGAAAGCGTTTTTTTTCTGTACAATTCTCAATTTTAACTTATCTAATATATTCTATCTTTATTCATTTTATGTGACTTAATTTTTTCTTAATTGCTATTTAAATGTTGAAAGTGGTATATTGCAGATTATCTGTTATTTCGATATTTCAGCATCTAGAATAAAGGCATAACATCGCCATGTTCAAAGGGGGTCCATTTTTCGATAGTCTTCCACTCTTTTTCGTTCTTTATTGCTTAATAGATTTTTGACTTCTACTTTATTTTGTCGGCGTTAGCTCCTCCTCAGCTCCTTAACCCTTCACCAGGGGTCTCTCTCCCCTGGCTATAAATACTGGCTGACCCTTCGCCTCATACCACCTCGCAGATGTGAGCTCAAAGATACAGCGTTTCCCAAATTCGGGGAACACGCTAAGAAAAATACACGTACGTACGAACACTCACCACAACACACGCACACATAATATTCACCACACGCACTCAATGTAACTGTCCATGTACTTGTTAATACATATATTTATCGGTCTTGTTTGTTTTTCTTTATACTTAATTAAAGTTCAACTTTCTCATGTAGTTGGACTGGCTAGCAGGAAATTTCTACCCATGTGTGTTTTACATACTCATCACCGCCACGGTCCACTTCAATCTTTTCTATCACCAACTATTGGACTATATGTGAATTACAATTAATCGAGACTAATTCATTGTTAAACGACTTAGCAAGATTGCTCACCCCTCCTTCCATCTTAGTATTTTTTTTCGTAACGATCAAAAAACGGATGTTTAATTTTAATTGTTAATCTCATACGTTAATCGATAGATTTAAACGAATTTAAGTTTACTCGTTCAATAGGTTTTAAACATATATTTTCGTTTTAACACGCTGCATAAGTAGTAATTTATTTATTTTAATCGTAAAAATGTAAATTTTTAATAACAGTAATTAATAGCTGGCGAGATGAAAGTTGATGGGGGATGTGAAGGAAGAGAAAATGAAAACAGGGGAGGAAAAATGGAAAAAAAAACGGAAACAATTACCTTCCGTGTATCCGATGATAGGGTATCGACATAAAAAAAAATCCCCCGTAAACAATTTAAATAGAGCTCACACCATAGTGATTGGGTGTTGGTCAACTTCCAATCAAATGCGTGATAGCGGTTTTGGTTTGCCTAATTTAAGTCAGTGTCTGCAGACTTAAGTTAGGAGTCGCATCAGCAACTGATCAGCTCTAATGGGGTTGACTTGGTGAGGTCAGTATGATGTTTGAAAGACCCGAAACTGCCCTGTGACCCAAATCAGAACATCACTGACGACGCCCTCTAGCGCTAAAGAGCGTATATTCAAAGTATATATCAGACAAATAAAAGACAGGTTTCATTAAATAATTTAGACATGTTCTGTCTAAATATTCTCGATAGGATAGTTTTGTATTCGCCGATAACCTTTTTTGTATGGTTATTAAAAAGACGAGAGGAAAACACCGTGTTGGCTGTTGTGTTTATTCTGAATACTTTCGACATAGCATGTCATCAGTGTATTGTTAAATATAGAGAAAGTATTTAGTGTTCATTTTTGTAAAGAACAAAAATTATCTGAAAATTACAGAATTTAAAGAATGTTTTAAAATGCTTGTGGAATTTCGTAATTAAATTTGAGGTTTGTTTTTATTTTGATATAAACGGCTTAGAGATGTTTATTTTTATACTTTTCTTGGAAAAGTCTGGAGGTATTTTCGACGAGGATAATTCTGAATTGCTAGTGTGGACAATTATGTTTGTCGTGTCTCCAAAGTATACATTATTTTTATCGTTGGAGACGCAATCACCCAGACGACATTTAAATTTATAAACAATGTCCGTTTTCTACAACACGCAAGCGGCCGGGAAAGATTCATTACTAATCATTTTATTACATAGTGGATTTAGTGTTATATATATATATATATATATATATATATATATATATATTTTACTAGGGTCTGTGGTAATGTGCTAGTTTTAATTTTGGGGGGATATTTCCGTCTAGTTTATAATTAGCATGCATTTGACTACAAAGAAAAAAATGGGGATGTTATTGATGCGTGTAAATTTAATTATAAAAATTAAACTTAAAATCCAGTGTTTCGTTCCATTGTCAAGCGATGCTATGAATAACTTTCTAGGAAATTTACTTAATTTATAAGTGCAGACAATCTTTAATATTGAGTTGTTAAGGTTAAGGAAAATTTAATCTATTTTGGTTAGGGGTGGTTGGGTTTTAATTTCCCTAGACAACTTGTGTATTAAATATATGTTACTTACAAAGTCAGGTTAAGTTTAGGTGGGGTGGGAATGAGTGCATGCTCACAAACAGCAATCAGTTATTCAGCGTGTCGTCTAGTTTTTCAATGACAAAATATTCATATTTTTATACGCGAACATTTTCTAAAAGGGTTATATGAATATGAGGAAGTCATATTTTTAATATTTAAATTTTATTCTTACAGATTTAAAGTAACATTACTCCTAATAAACAAAAGACTATATGGTATTTTTTACAAATGAATATATTAATTTAATTTCGTATTTTAAAAATTATTAATTAATGATCAAGTATAAATATTTGTTTCAACTCTTACTTTGCCAAAATTATTATTTAAGGAAAATAAATAGCAGTACCTCCAAAAATATAGTTATTTCATTTCCGATTTAGAAATTTATATTTTTCACAAATGTATTATATATATATATATATATATATATATATATATATATATATATATAGTTGTGAATATGGATTATGTCCTCTTTGATAATTCAAGCTATAAAAGCTGTACATTTCCGCTTGTCAAGTAGACTAGTAGTAAGATTCTTAATTGAATAAAAGATTACTAGACAATCTCTTGTCCTGTTTTCATTACATATATATTTCCTCTTGTCTCATTGATACTCACAATAATGGTTTAGCAGTATGAAAATGCAATGTTAGGTGGCACCACTAACATGTGCTCTGACAACCGATTCTGAACAGTTTCCTTTGAGAGCATGCCAGGAAACGTGAATTCAGGATAGTTCGGACAAAAAAATGTTAGGTAACAGCCAGATTTGAGCTTTTAAATACATTAGCATTACCCGTTCTGCGACGTCACACGTGTCCCGTAGATAGACTATGGAAAGCGTTACTGCGCGCGATCCTTGATATCGTAACTAGAGGCTAGTACTGGTGACGCTTTCATAACATTGCATCAAATGGTAGGCGCTGGGTCCGCCTAAAAAAAAAAAAAAAAAAAAAAATAATAAAAAGTGTTCAGCGTCTACTATATGGTCATACTTCGTACGCATTCATAGACTCCATCTTCCCCAGCAACGATGGGTTATTCCAACAGAATGGGGCACCTTATCAGATCGAAGTGGCCGAAAACTGCGTAAACGTGAAACAATGCGTCTACATATTATTGACAGCTCTCAAGATGGTATACTATAAAATACATACATACAATTTATTTACGTAATCGATGCCCAGTCGAGCTGCTGCACTTCAGACGAAACTATTTCCCGCTCGATGTCTTTTTCTTGTTTAACGGCATATGTTAAATGTCCAAATCATTTAGTATATTTCTAAGAGTTTGTAGTCAGAGTTATTGGTTAACAAAATTCTAAAATATAGTGAGAGACACAGAGAGACAGACACGCAGAGAGAGAGAGACACAGAGAGACACAGACACGCAGAGAGAGAGACACAGAGAGACAGACACGCAGAGAGAGAGAGAGACACAGAGAGACAGACACGCAGAGAGAGAGAGAGACACAGAGAGACAGACACGCAGAGAGAGAGAGACACAGAGAGACACGCAGAGAGACGCAGAGAGACAGACACGCAGAGAGACGAGAGAGACAGACACGCAGAGAGACGCAGCAGAGACGCAGAGAGACGCAGAGAGACGCAGAGAGACAGACACGCAGAGAGAGACGCAGAGAGACAGACACGCAGAGAGACGCAGAGAGACAGACACGCAGAGAGACGCAGAGAGACAGACACGCAGAGAGACGCAGAGAGACAGACACGCAGAGAGACGCAGAGAGACAGACACGCAGAGAGACGCAGACACGCAGAGACACGCAGAGAGACACAGACACGCAGAGACACGCAGAGAGACACAGACACGCAGAGACACGCAGAGAGACACAGACACGCAGAGACACGCAGAGAGACACAGACACGCAGAGAGACACAGACACGCAGAGAGACACAGACACGCAGACAGACAGACACGCAGAGAGACACAGACACGCAGACAGACAGACACGCAGAGAGAGAGAGAGAGCGATTAAAGCCTCACATATTTTATAAATTTAAGTTTGTTATTCGAGTACTTTTTTTATAGAATTTTTCCGCCATATGGTTAAAGTCACTTCTGTCTATAAGTATGTGCTTGACTTTAAATGGTCTTTTGATGTACATATTTGGGTCTACTAGTTTTTATTTAAGGAGAAATGAAAGGCTGATAGTGAGTGTGATCAGTGCGCAGTCTAACTAGATGGTATATTTAAGCAATTGTGATATTAATTTCCTCAAAGAAACACAGCATTCATTGACCAAGTAGCCAGTCCTGTCGGTTAAAATATAAAAAATCTTTAAAAAAAAAAATCAGTTTTTCACGTATCTCAACTTCAGTAGCTGTTATCGCCCTTTCCATTATTGATGGGAGTATTTTAATTCCTCACCTTTTATTTACAGCAGTGTGGAATGTCAACCTCTTGATTATAGTCATTCTCTCAGAGTTAAATGTAATCCTTTTTAGCTGTTGAAAGTCAACTGAAAGCTTCTCTTACAGGTTTTTTTTATCACACCATAAAATGTTGGTCGATAGTGTGTGTTGTAAACTTGTGCTTGGTACCATTTCCAACGTAGACAGTAACTTTAGTGACATTTTTATTAAGATAGTGGGTTACTGAATCGTGATGTTGTAAACTTTCAAAAGCTTCACTTAAAACACGATATTATGAGAAAAATTAGAAACAAGCCCAAAATTTTAAAGTAACCAGAAGAAACATTTAGCACACACAAAACTAATATTGTAAATAACACCACGAAAAGAAAGAAAAAAAACATTGTCATTAATCTGAAGAAGTGTCTCAAAGCCTTATTCTTGTAGGTAATTCTCTATCAATTGCTAATGTATATAACACTGGGTAACTTACAATAACAACCCAACATCAACCCCGTTAAACTGGTATGAAGAATAAAAGTAAATAGATTGGAATGAATTGATACATTTTAAAAATCCGACAGTTTCATAGATTGAAATAAGCAGAAATATCCGTAATTTTAACATTTGTTTAAAAAAAAAAAAAAGAAAAAAAAAGGTCACACTCCATTTGTCAACGTTTCGGGGCTTGTGCCTTCCGAGATGTATATCGAATTTGGATCACCTACGGGGAATTATTCTAGTTTCACTGCTCATATCTAGGTATGTAGTCTTGTTATTTAGCACTGGTCAGTTATTTCTAGCACGTTTCCACTGAGTGCAAGTACACATTGTCCGACCAGGGATTGAACTCACATCTATGTCAACAAATGCATAAACCAACGCCTTTATCCACTAAGCCGCTAAAATAATGAAACTGGCAAGATTAGTTTTTCTGCGTTTACCATCGTCGGCCAAGTTGCCAGGAATCCAATTCATTATCAGAATAAAAAAAACCCAAGATTGAAATCTGGAGGTGGATAGCCAAAGAAGCATTCCTAAACTTAAGCAGAGTACTAAGAAGTAGGAATGGTTCACTAGAAACAAAGGAAAGAGTGCTAAACTGTTGTGATATCTGTCTAGTATGGCAAAGGATGCTGGACGATCTCCTCAAAGATGATGAGGAGAATTGAAGCAACAAATGTGATTTTACACAAGGATGCTGGAGTTACCGTAGAACGAACATGCGAGTATCGAAGTTTTGGAGAAAATAGATACAAAAGAAACTAATACTTAATCAGAAAGTAACAGTTGAGGTTCTTGGAGCAGATGAGGAAGGAGGGCTTGGAAAATCTGATACCCACGGGACAGATAGATAGCAAGAGGGACAGCGCATAACATAATTGTTGAGCAGAACAGGGCTTAGGAGAAAGGTCTAAGAACTATATGGGACAGGAAGCTGTGAAAAGCCATGATTGCCTATGTCCTGAGGGGACACGGTACAGATTTCTTGTGAGCTATTTCGCCATATACATACGTTAAGTCTACGTTACAAAATTTCAGTAAATTCAACTTCATTTCCATAATAGTGCAATGTTCTGGTCACAGTTTGGAAAAATATCCCTTTCATTTTTTCACTCCAAGAGCGGAGGTTTAGAGTGAAAAAACCGGAATAAACAAAATTAACGAATATTTTAAATTTGGAAAATGTTAAATTAATCACCATATAAAACTGCCATCTTGGGTATGACTAAACTACATCCGGCAGCAAGACCGAAGGTTTCGAGAAGTGTGGAACCATCTTTTAAGGTCCACGCTGACCCGGGGTGGTAGCACCTGTTAGGGTCCCAGCTATGGGCAAATAGTTAATCCTAAAAAATGGTGTCAAAACACTATGAAAGTAAGAAAATCGATTTTTTGTAGTAAATACCATCAATACATTTGACATATATTATATAAACCAGCTATAAATTTGACTAGACAAAACCCCTCTTTACTAAAGTATGTTAATGAAACCAGATTTACAAACGGATTTCTTACAATTACTTCTATTCATAGGAAACTATCCTTAAAATCTTGAAAAGTAAAGCCAGACCCCCCCCCAAAAAAAAAGGTAATGCCAGACCACAAACAAACAAAAAAAAAAAAAAAACACAGACCCAAAAGAAAAGTAAAGTCAAAAAAAAAAAAAAAAAAAAAAAAAAAAAAGTAAAATGTCAAGCTAGGCCAAAGAATTTTTTACTAAATTATTTAATCATTTTTTAGAACTTCCGGAATTTCTTTTTTTTTTAATTTTCTTGCGTTGACTTGCTAGCATAAATTGAGAAATTTGAGCGTCTTTTTGATGTGGGAACACGGTTTGGAAATTCAAATAAAAACAAAAATCACTAATAATAATTGTTAGATTTTAGACCTTCAGTTCTTATTCTGAAATAAAAAAAATAATTTGTAGAACATATTGTTAATATTAGTTATGACACGTCCTTGGATAATATTGTAAACTATTGTCAAACAGGAGACCCAGTTAGAAAAACTTGCAATGAATATTTCTGAAACCATTTTTCAAAAACTAACCGTTGACAATGAGAACGAGATAAGATACTCTCAGATGAATTTTGCTGACTTAATAAAATGGGCTGATAAGGTTGATAGCAAGGAGATTACTTTGGAAAGAACAACAGCGCCTACTTAATTTAAATTCGTTAAGTAAGGCAATAAAACTAAGATATTTAGTCAGAAAAGATTTTGACAAAAATGATATGGATACCTGCAAGAAAAATCGAATAATGAATTTTTACAATTGTTTATGAAGTTTTGTTGAAATTACATTTGTAGCGGTTAGGCGATAAGAACTATTTACTAATCCTTCATTGCAATTCAACGATCACCAGTATTTTAATTGAATTTTTTTCTGATGTTTGCAAATACGGATGTCCATACACGACGTTAAATTAAAAGCGCTAACTCCAGTAAATCTAAAATTTATTGGTAATTTAACATGTCCTAAACAAGCGTATTCGTTAACGTATAAAGCCAAAGTATTTAAAAATATTAGATCACTTACAGTATTTTCCTAAATACTAGTTTTTTTTTAAAGTTGTTTACGTACTCAAGTAATTTTTATGTGATAGTTAAAAAAAAAAAAAAAAAAAGCTAAACTAAGCTAAATTTCTCCACGACTCAGACACCTCCATAGGAAACGAAATTACTTGTTTTAAACTATAATTAAAGTTTAACTTTAAATCAGTTACTCTTCAAATAAGATTTCAAAAGTATAAAGATTTTTCTGTTTAGAATTCAAACTTTAATCGCTTAAATCGGGCATATTGATAAAGCTGTCAGTACATAATTCTTAAGCATTTTGCTTCCGAGAAATATTAAATTTTATTTAACCTATTAGCTTTGCATTAAAATAAGCTTCAAGAAAAGGTTTAAAAATGCATTTCAAACATAAAATCTAAATGTATCATGAAAAATTACGGATTTCCCTTTCCCGAAATTGTTAGACCCTAGCTTTCTTTTTTTTTTCATAACCAATGAAACAGCAGAGGGCTAGGTTCAAATCGTTTGTTTCTCGTTACTTGACTGTCAGGGACCAAGTCTTCAGTCTATTTGAGCGAAGTGGTTCCTCGTAACTATACGAATATTTAACTGTCCTCAGTCTGATTTCCACGTTATCAAACAATTGATGCAGGGGAGATAACTTCGTTTATTCAGTTTTAGAACGTGCACGCACACTGTTTATTTCTCGGAAAAATAAAGTCTACCATTTTACTTTTACGACATACAAGAGCGTAAATATTTCCTTGCAAAATAAAATAAAAACTCAAAGGTGAATTACGAATTCAATTTCCTCGAATCGGAAACACGGACAGTTATCTAGCTACCTCGACTTTTTCGCTGAAAAAACATGGCATGATGAAAAACGGACCCAAACAAAGTTTTATCGTCACAATGTTTAAGAAAGGATTTTTTTAAAAAGTTAAAATTAATTCTTTCTAGCACGTTAGAAATTTATTTTTTTTATTTTTTTTTTTTTGCGTTAGCGGTCGATTTAAATACAGAGAAACCCGGATATAAGATTTTCTCTGGTCCCAAATTATTCCCATACTTACCTAAACAACATAGACCAAACCCGGATATTAGTAGAGACTTATCCTTTCCCGACAAGTCTTATATCCGGGTTACACTGTATTTACGATTAGTGCTTTAGCGCCTATTTACAGGTGAAAAACATTGATCTGGGAATTCTTGCAAAAATTCAAATAATTGCCAGATTTTAATAAAAGTTACAGCACTTATTCACAAATTAAACTATTTTTTAATTTTATTTTTTAGCAAGTCTTGGTCATTTTTTCATACATGTTACCCCCACCACACACACACTTATTTCCTTGAAATCAGGAGAAATTAAATTTTCATACTTTTTTTTTTTTTAATTAGTTAAAAGCTGGACTCAGAGAATGTAACCATTTTTTTCCGAAAATCTTCTCCAAATTGTAAAATGCAATAAAAACTGATATTTAATTAAAAAAGCTTTTAATTGATTTAAGAAATCAAATTTAAGGACATTACTGTCTTAAAACTTTTTCGATGAATGAATGTTTTAAATTTTAATTTCAATGTATAGATCTTAAAATTCTGCATTACTTTTCATCCGGTTCTTTAGTAAATAGTTTTACTCAATTAAAAATTGAAAAACAATTATAAATAATTTTGCAAAGATTTAAAAAAATTTTATGTATATAAAATATTACGCAAGATACCCATTTTT